GGAATGCCGGAAGGCGCAGGTCCGGGAGCAGGGAACTCCTTGTTGGTGACTGGCTCTGCCCTGGAGGAAAGAATGCAGCTGCTGAATCTCCAGGGAAGGCAGACTGGTGTGATCAGGCCCAGACCGCAGACCGGGGCTTGCGAGGTTTTCGAGGATTTTCCAAGTTTTCTTATTAGGAAATTTCCTCCTGGATTCGTTCCTTGGTCACACACTGAGACCCCTAAAGAATCCTGTTCTTTTGTGCAGTGATCAATGGCCTTTTGGAATTAAGTGAAGGAGAAGAGCTCCAAGAAGTCACTTGCTCACGACCCCAGATTGTACCAGGTAAGATTAAAATAGCAACCCTTGGACTACAGAATACGCAGAGTCCAAAGCCAGAGATCTGGATGAATTTCATTCTGAGTGTTCTCCATGTGCCCTGATTCTCTAACTTACAGGGTACCATTTCTGCACTTAACCCCTCTGGCCCTACGAAGAAATAGAAGGCATTGAGAAGGAGTTATAAATTGCTGTTTGACTGGACTGGTCCAAGCGACTGACACATTCAAAATGTAGCAAAAATATGCTAGGAAGGGAACCAGCAGTTAGCGTAATGGCTATGTCGCTGGACTCCCACATAGTGGACTGCGGTTCGTGTCCCAGACCCGGTGGCTTAAAACTCACGCCGGGCGCGTGTGCATGCGTGCCCAAGATCCTGAGAGGAGAATGGAGGAGAAGGGATTGCGGCGTGACCATCCCCCCTGGGGGGTGATTTCTCGCTTTCTGTCTCTATGTCTCTCTCTGTCTGTCTGGCGAGCGCACGCACCCTGTAGTGAAAAACCTCTCCAAAAAAAAGAATATGCTAGGAAAATGACTTTTTACTACAACCTATGTCTATTCAGGCTAAAGACATGAACCAATATTCTCTACCACGACCTTTATATTTTATAGAGCATCGTAAACTCAGTGTTCCTCTATTGATAATATTGTTATCTTAGTCTTCAAAGAATAATTTATACTATTATTTAATTATTGATGAGGGAAAAAAAATGACTTTAGATCAACCACACCCAAATCCAAATTATAGTTTAATCATTGGCTTATATTGTGATTTTTTTTTGAGAGGTTTTCACTGTAGGGCGCGTGCGCTCGCCAGACAGACAGAGAGAGACATAGAGACAGAAAGTGAGAAATCACCCCCTGGGGGGATGACCACGCCGCAATCCCTTCCCCTCCATTCTCTTCTTGGGATCTTGGGCACGCACACACACATGCCCGGCATGAGTTTTAAGCCACCGGGTCCGGGACTCGAACCGCGGTCGACTACGTGGGAGTCCAGCAACATAGCCATTACGCTAACTGCTGGTCCCTATTGTGATTTTTTTTTAATATGGCTTTTAATAAAGATTCATCTTGTCTTCACAAAAGCCTTAACAGGGAGGTAGGGTAAGTAGGTCATCTTAGCTCTATAGATGAGAAAACTGGAGCTAGTAATGGTTGAGTCACTTACAGATTCGTGTAGAGAAGAAAAGGAAGAACTGGGCCCTGGGTCTCCAAGCCTAGATTTAATAGAAAGAGAGTGAAATGCTCATCGAAACTTTGTTATAATGGCAAGTGCACGTTGTCCTGGACTTTGTAAATCTTTTTTTTTTTTTTACATTTTTTTCTTTATTTATTTACATTCATTCACTGTACATCATTATAGCATACAAAATGAGATTTTTCCATTGAGAATACACTGTATATTGGCTCAATCAAGCACATCAACATATGTGTTATTGTCAACAAATCATTTTCCATTTCTTGTTTTCTGTATATTTTGCCTTTTTTCCCATCCTTGATTCCCTATCTCACCCTCTGCCATCTCCCACCCTCCTCCCACACTGTGTCTGGTATCTATTGTTGCTTTCTATGCCTCCCCCATTTTATTGTTTCACTAAATATCTTAATAAATCTAAATATTTTCAATAGCAAGCACAGCTGATATGTACATATCCGTGAACACAAGTCTGACTTTAGGCATAAACCTCAGTGAATAGAATGAACATACTATAAAGTAGCACCTAACTAGGGCTATATAGCTTAACTGCAGTCATCAAATAAGTATTTTTAATGCTTTTTTTTCTTCTGAAAATTTTTTTTTATTAATTTACTCATTCCCTGAGCATCATCACAACATTCTAAATGTGGTTTCCCATCTAGAATATACTGCATAGTGGCTTAATAATGCATGTTATCATCCATAATATTCCATTTCTACTTTCATATATATGTTTTTTACCCCATGTCTAGCCCTCTGCCCTATTCCACTCTCTTATTACACTATCTCTGCTGTCTACAGTTGTCTTCAATCCCTTTTCCCCCAACATTTCGTTGATCACACAATATCATAAGTAATCTAACTACTTTCAATAGCAAGATCAGCCGATGGTTTCAAGAAAAGCAGTTTTGAACTGGTAAGGATATTTCTTTGAAACTTAAAGCCTAGAAACAGGTTAGTATTCTGTTCAAATAGTCGGAACATGAATCTATTGATAGCTGAAGACAGGACAAAAGTCCTTAAAACCAGACAACAAAGCTTAGAAGAAAAGCAGCAATATTTTAGTCAAGTCGTAGAATACTGTTTCATCAGTTCAGTCTCATGTACTTAATCTTTCTTCTGTATCTGTTGAGGTTCGATGTTCCAGATTGAAATCTGGGATGTAATACTCAACTCCAGCTTTTGGCCCTACAATTAAGTTGCCCATTTTCTTAGTTTCTGAACTCTTATTTCTGTGTGTCTGCATTTAATTTTACTGACATAGCACTCCCTTAAGAACTTCTTGGAGATCCGGTCTGGTGCTGGTAAATTCTTTCAGGTTTTGTTTATCTGGGAAAGTTCGTGTCTTTTCTTCCCAAATGAACGATAACCTTGCTGGGTACAGAATTCTCGGTTGAAATTGCTTTTCCCTTAATACTTTGAATACATTTTCCCATTCTCTCCTCGCTCTCATTGTTTCCGATGAGAGGTCTGCCGTTAGTCTGATGGGATACCCTTTGTAGGTAACTTGCCTTTTTTCTCTTGCCAGTCTTAGTATCTTGTCTTTGTCTGTGGTTTTGGTCAATCTGGCTATAATGTGTCTTGGAGAAGATCTTCTTGGGTTGATTCTATTTGGGGTCCTCTGTATTTCTTGGGACTGAATCTTTGAGTGCCTCTCCAGGTTTGGAAAATTTTCTTGTAGGATTTCATGGAATAGATTATCAATGCCCTTATGAGTCTCTTCACCTTCTGGGATGCCTATTATCCGGATGTTTGGACGTTTAATTGTATCTAGTACTTCTCGCATATTATTCTCAAATTTTTGGGCCATTTTCTCAGTCTTTGCGGTGGATTTTTCTAGGCCAACCATTTTCTCTTCTACATTAGAGATTCTATTTTCTGTATGATCTAGTCTGCTTTTAATACTTTCAAGGGAGATTTTGACTTCTTGTATTATAGCCTTCATCTCTAACAGTTCCATCTGATTCTTTTGTAAAGTGTGAAATTCCTCCTTTAGATCTTGCATGAATTTCCTCACCTCCTGGAACTCTTCAACTCCTTTCTCCTTCCTCTTCAGCAGTTCCTTGTCTCTCTTCTCTTCCATCTCTGTTAGCTTTGCCATTATGAATGTTCTGAATTCTTTATCAGACATTTCCATGATTTCCATTGAACCGTGTGTGGATAAAGAGGAGCTATCCTTTTCCCTTGGAGGAGAGGTATTTTCCTGCTTCCCCATATTTCTTGCGGTCCTGTAGCAATTTCTAGTCATCTGGTGGATGGTCGGTTTCTTCCCAAACTTGGAAGTTCAATCACATGACTTTGAATGCTGGAGGCCCAGTTATCAGTGGGACATCTTCCTTTCTCCCCAAATGGCTAGATCGCAGGAGCCATGGAGCTGTCTCTGTAAATCTTTTGACTACAAGTAATGTTTTGTTTCCCTTTTGTTTTACAGAGACCGTGGGTTTCAAACCATTAACTGTCAACAGAAAAAGCCCTAGGAAACGATGTAAGGAAAAATGAGAACTCCTCATGATTATAGGTGTAAAGTATTTTCTATGAAAGAGTCCTTTTTATTTATTTATTTTTTGCTATCAAAGTAAAATACAAATTTGCTTTAACTTTAGATGGTCCGTTTTATATGTAACTGTTATAACATCTGAACCCAAAGAAGTCAATGACTCAATACAATACGAATTTCACATATTTTAAAGGAAGTTTCAATTTTTTTCTCAAGTAAATACTCCAAGGATTTTTGATGCCTCTGTTTCAAGTAGTTATTCAGTAGAAAGTCTGTCTTCCTCCACCGTAGACATCCACGAGGCCCTAAGAACAAAGCAAAGATAGAGATCAATACAAACCTGGGTGCAAACCACAGCCACAAATTCACAGAGAGAAGTAAAAAAAAAAAAATAATGCGGAGTGAGAAGGCAGAGGTCCAAGACAAAGCAGAGATGTTCACTGGGTGAAATGTTCTCAGCTTCAAGCTTGGGGGACAATGAGAGATGCCGCTTTGTCACAAAAGTCATGATATATTTTTTTTATACAAAAATGCATCATGACTTTTCCAGCAACCCAGTAAAAGATACCCTAGAGGTCACACAGATCTGAGAGGTGTGAGGGCAGGAA